TTATACTAAAGGAGAAAGGTCTAATAATGTAGAGACTGGCTGGTATTTTAAAGTAGAAATAAATTTTTTTTTCTTGTAAAATCTTCCATTTGCATCCAACTCTGCTTCCCTCTTCCCTTCCCCTACTCCAGCCTTTCAAGAACAGAGTGCTCAGGACTAGAATGAGCCTTAGGAGTACTTTGCCGAGCCTGTAGTTCACCAGGGCCTAGAGAGGACCTCTGCCTGTCCAAGGTCACACAGTTTAGCAGTGACAGAGCCAGGAGGAGAAGCCAGTTTCCTGTCTCCCTGTCTTGCTCTCTTTCCACCATACCATTCGGCTGTGCTATAGCTCAACTTATTAATTTCAAAATAAAATAATTAAGACTGCAAGATTTTTTTTAAAGCTCTTGAATTTTCAAAGATTGATAAAGTCAAGTTAACAACATTAATTGCTGTTATTTTAATCCATGTGATTTTCACATAAGTCATTTTCTATTGTGATCTTCTCTTAAACCTCACTTAGAGTGAATATATCCAAATAAAATACAGCGTCAGGCAGGAAAAGGGGCGTCTTTACTGTTTCCCCTCCGATATTACGCAGCACCTGTTATACACGCCGTGAGCCAGCTCCCGTATCAGTGAAAGGGGGAAGTGGAATCTAGCCCTAAATCCAGGTTCGGGGGTTCCAGCCAGTTCCGAAGGAAACAGAACAAACCCTCTTAGCAGTCTGATGAAGTGTGACTAGAGGCGCCTGGAAGGCACTGCATTAGTGTGGGGCTGGGTGTCAAAATTCCACACCCTGGAAGAGGGCAGGACAGTCCCTGTCCTGACAATGGAACGAGGCATACCAAACTCTCACATGCTCCAGGCGGTTTTCCACAATTGCTCATTTCCTGGTTTAGAGCATGTGTGTGTGTGTGTGTGTGTGTGTGTGTGTGTGTGTGTGTGAAAATTAGCAGATGTTTTTGCCGACAGTCTGATCAGCAATCTGCAATTAGACCCCAAGGAACAAACTGCTCATTGCGGTTAGGGGCCAATTAACCACTTGAGTAATGACATCTGTCACAATTTTCATACCTCATCCTGTCCTGGATCTTATCTCCAAACCGTACTCAAAACAAGTGCCTACGTTTCCTAAAATAGACCAACCCAATTTTTAATAGCTCTGCTCTAGTCAGCATCTTGGTGGAGTGTTTTAGGGCTGAATAATCCTTAATACAGTAGTTACTGAGCACTTCCAATGAGCCTGGCATTGGATAAAGGACTTTACAAGCAGCATAACTCACTGGGTCCACATAAGTGGGGTAGGCACTACTCTGTGAAGTAGGTACTATCATTATCCCCATTTTACAGACACAGAAACTGAGGCATTGTGAAGTTAAATAACTTACAGCTAAAAGGACAGAACCTGGATCCATATTTGGGTCTGTTTGACTTCAGAGCCCAGAGTCTAAACTTCTGTGCTATATGCTGCTTTTATTTGACACAGCTGCTGTGTATCATTCAGCTGGTAAGATACTGATAATATATTAAAATGATGGAAGTGTACGCAATGTAGTTTTGTATACAAACAGCAAAAATAAGATACTGTTTTTAAAATAATGGAATACTTACTTAACACAGTGATTCTCAAATGAGGGCAAAACAAGCTGTCTCGGGCATTTGAAAATATTTGGGGTCATTTTTTGGTCATTTGGGTTGTTACATTGATCTGTTAGATTGGTGGAGTCCCAGGATGATGATGATCTGCAATGTGCAAAATGGTTCCAGACAATAAGGAAGTGTTGTTGTCGTTAGATGTCGTCGTGTTGATTCCGACTCATAGCAACCCTGCATACAACAGAACAAAACACTGTCTGATCCTGCACCATCCTCACGATCGTTGCTATGTTTCAGCCCATTGTGGCAGCCACTGTGTCAATCCATCTCACTGAGGGTCTTCCTCTTTTTTGATGATCCTCTACTTTACCAAGCATGACGTCCTTCTTCAGGGACTGGTCTCTCCTGATATTATGCTCAAAATACGTGAGAAAACATCTTGCCATCCTTGCTTCCAAGGAGCACTCTGGCTGTACTTCTTCCAAGACAGATTTGTTCATTCTTCTGGCAGTCCGTGGTATATTTAATATTCTTCGCCAACATCATAATTCAAAGGCATTAATTCTTCTTCAGTCTAAGGAATTGCCTGGCCCCAAATGTCAGATACTACTGAGAAACACTGATAAAGTGGAACAGTAGTAATTTTCAACGATGCTATAAAACACGGGGTGGCAAACTTAAATGCCTTCAGGGATCAGTCAGGATCTGAAGAGTACATGTCCCATCTTGTTGTTGGAGCCATCGAGACAATTTTGACTCATAGTGACCCCATGTGACACAGTAGAACTGCCCCATAGGGTTTTCTAGGCTGTAATCTTTACGGCAGCAGATCACCAGGTCTTTTCTCCTGCAGAGTGGCTGGTGGGTTAGAACCGCCTGCCTTCGGTTTAGCAGTCGAGTGCTTAACCATTGTGCCACCAGGGCTCCTTCTGTCGCATCTTAGGGCATCTAAATTCAAATCTTGAAAGCACAGAGTCAAACAAAGATCATCTAGGCCCTGAATCTGACCGTTGGACCTCCAGATTGTGTCCTTTAAATGAAGGTTTTTCTGATTTGGAAACATGTTTACAATATATTAAGTGAAGAGGGAAAGGTACTAATTAGAATGATCCCACGTTTAAAAATGATTGCATGTGCATATATACACATATTTACACTACTCATGCACAATACATATATTTAAGAAATGTATAAAAATTTTCTGGAAGAGTATGGAATAAGATTTGGTGTGCCTATTCATATTTTTATTCTTCTACTATGAATATAAGGATCCCTGGTGGCACAGTGCTTAAGTCCTCGGCTGCCAACCGAAATGTTAGTGGTTCAAACCCACCAGCTGCTCCACTGGAGAAAGATGTGGCAGGCTGCTTCCGTAAAGATTACAGCCTTGGAAACCCTATGGGGCAGTTCCACTGTGTCCTACAGGGTCGCTAAGAGTCAGAATCTACACGAAAGCAGTGGGTTTGGGTTGGACTATGAATAACTATTAGCTGTGAAATATTTAATAAATAAAGGGTAAGGGGAGCCTTAAAAAATGAAAAGCTTTGAGTGTGGTGTTAGGAGAACACCGCCTTGGCAGCTTACTGCTCGTTCCCTTCAAAGGAGAAAGAATAATTTTTGTGATTAAGGACAAACGCGACGTTCAGTAATGAGGTAAACATGACTCAAGCACTAAGCCCCTTCATAAACGGAATATTGTTGCTTTCCCAGACTAACTGGTCTAGCTTCTGGTCCCTTTCCAAGATTTTCAGGTCTTTTGTGATGAAATAAAGCTTCTGTGGTAAAGTCCAGTTTTCTTTTGCAGCTGCCCCACCAGGGGTATTGAAGAGCCCCAGCTGAGAGCTTGAGAAACCAGCATCCGTAATGTAATTTATTTTAGGAGGGCATACCGAGAGGTCAGCAGTTCGAACCTGCTAGCCACTCTACGGGAGAAAGATGTGGCAGTCTGCTTCTGTAAAGGTTACAGCCTTGGAAACCCTATGGGGCAGTTCTACTCTGTCCTACAGGGTTACTATGAGGTGGAATCAACTTGAGGGCAATGGGTTTTGGGTTTTTTTTAAATCCAAAATTAGACAAGAGCAGGGCATTTGAAATATATTTATGCCTTTTTTTTTTTTTTTTCCAGTTAAGGCACCAAGTCCTTGAAGATCATTGTTTTTCCTGCAAATTCCCCTTCTCGCTTCATCTTGATCATTTTTGTGTTTTATTTCCAGCTTCCCGGCTTTACAGTTTTTATTTTGTACACAAGTCACCTTTGATTCAGCTTTCTTTCTGGAGTTTACTGATCATCTGAGGATAATGAATTTTCTAGAAGTCCACAAATGGTTAAGAGTTGGACTACTAACTGAAAGTTTGGCGGTTCAAACCCACCCAGCAGCGCCTTGGAAGTAAGGCCTGGCGATCTGCTTCCAAAATGTCACAACCTTGAAAACCCTATGGAGCAGTACTACTCTGTCATATAGGGTCACTATGAGTTGGAATCGACTCCATGGCAGGGGGTTGGTTTTTTGGTTTTAGTCCCTGGGTAAGGAGCCTTGGTGGCACAATGGTTAAGCGCTCAGCTGCTAACCAAAAGGTCATCAGTGGTTCAAACCCACCTGCTGCTCCAAGGAAGAAAAGACCTGGCAATCTACTCCCATAAAGATTACAGCCTAGGAAACACTACAGGGTAGTTCTACTCTGTCATATAGCATCGCTCTAAGTTGTAATTAACTGGTGGCACACAACAAGAACAATCCCTGGGTGGTACAAATGGTTAACGTGCTCAGCTGCTAACCAAAATGTTGGAGGTTCGAGTCTAGGCAGAGGCACCTAGGAAGAAATGCCTGGTGATCTACTTCGGAAAAATCAGCCAGTGAACACCCTATGGAGCACAGCTCTACTCTGACACACATGGGGTTGCCATGAGTCAGAATCGACTTGATGGAAACTGGTTTTTTTTTTTCTTTTAATTACATCTAACTCATAGGATTGTTGTGTGAAATAGATAGGATGATGGGTGTTCCAGGGGCTGAGCATTCTGGTTGGCATGGAGTAAGTGCCCACTACTAGTTGACCACTTGCCACTGAGTGGACTCTGACTCATGGTGACCCCACATGTGTCAGAGTAGAACTGTGCTCCATAGGGTTTTCAGTGGCTGATTTTCCAGAACTAGATCACCAGATCTTTTTTCCAAGGTGCCTCTGGATGCACTTGAACCTGCAACCTTTCAGTTAGCAGCCCAGCACATTAACCATTTGCACTATCCAGGGACTCTGAGTGCCCATTAGCTATTAGATATTATTATTACTACTGCTATTTTGCAGATTCAAAACCTGAAATCTGGGGAGAGGAAAGCAAATGGCTCCCAGTGGCTGAGTTTGCCCAGGGGCATTAGAGCTTAGGGTCCAGGAGTCCTGACCAGCTGCCTTGCCTCCTACAGGTCTTTTGGAGGAACCTGCCGGAGGCACTAACTGGAGATCGGGCTCCCAGGGTGGTTCCTCCTAGGTCCCTTCCTGCTGCCCCTGGAAGAGTCTGAGCCCCCCTTCTCATGACCTGAGGCTTCCCAGAGAGAAGCTCAACATGCTGACCGAGTGAGTGGGCCCGGAAGAGCCAGGGCAGGGCTGGGACCACGTTTCCAGTCACGGTTCCAAACAGTGCTAATTGGGATAGCTGGCTTCCAAGTGCACACACTGCTGTCCCTGACTCCCCCAGGCTTGTTGCCCAGTGAGGTGAAGGGACCTGCCCTGAGACACGTAGCAGGCGGATGTCTGCCTCTGGCTGGCACAGGGGTGGGCTTGCAGCTGTATTAACCCGTCGCCTTCGAGTCGATTCCCACTGACCTTGACCCTCTGCTGTCTCAACAGAAGCATGCAGGTCTGGCACGGCTTAGTGATTGCAGCGGTATCCCTCCTCCTCCAGACCTGCCTCCTCGCAGTCATCAATTACCTGCTCAACAGGCACATGGGTCAGTAGCTCAGTGCCCCCTCCCCCAGTCACCCTCAGAGGCCATTCCTGAGCCTGCAGCAGGACGAGTCCCCTTTGGAGTCCCCAAATATTACTTGAAAGACTACCTGAGGGCCCACTGGTCAGACCACCCTTCCTCAAACCTCCAGCGGGGAAATCCCACCTCCCCACTCTGACTTCACCTTTTACCCAAACTCTTGCTGGTCGGAAATGATTGCCCAGGTCCTTCTGCTACCCAGACGTGTTGCCGAGAGCCAGGCCTCTGTAGCACTGGTGAGGAATGGTTTGTTTAAAGTGGGCCTAATTAACCTTCTTCATCACCACCAAAGGATGGAGCAAGAAGAAATGGACTTGAGCTGTAATAGAGAAAGAATAGTTAGACTTAAAGATTAGCTTACATTCTTGAACCGATTTACAATTAAGGGAGAGAAGCTGTGTCCTGGGAAGTCATTACAATTAGGAAAAATAAAATAAAGCTGCTTCAGTGGATTAGGCATTACCTTGTTCTCAGGCAGGCGACTGGGCAGGCTGGCGTTTTCAGGATCTTTCCAGTAAAGGAAGTCTAGGCTTCTCTATTCATTCATTCATTCATTCAACAGATATTTATTTAGCACCTAAGGCGCTGGTGATACAGCAGGGAACAAAATAAAAATTCCTGACCTCATGGGACCTACAGTCAGTGGGGGAAACGGGCAACAAACAAAATAAGTAAAACACACAGTATGTTAGACACAGTAGGTAAGTACTAGGAGAAAAAACGAAACAAGGAAGAGAGATATGAGCTGAGGGGTGGCCAGCAGCCTGGAGTGTAAGCCTGCAGGAAGTGAGCAGGTGCGCCCCACCTGGGAAGGCCTGAGGGCAAGACCGTGTTTGGCACGCAGCGGGCGATAGAGAGAAAGCAGGCCAGCGCTGAGTGAAGAGTGAGGTCCAGAAGGCCCGGCAGGCTGGGCTCTGGCTTCTACACCAAGTGAGGGGAGGAGCCCCTGCAGGGTTTGAGCAGAGGAGTGACTGGATTTGAAGAGACCGCTGTAAAGTTTTTGCCCTCATGAGAATGGTGCTCAGAAGGCACTTGATTCCAGAACGGCCGTGCCTAACCCGGAGAGCTCTCACTTGTGACCCCTGCCCTCTCCCCTCCAGCCGAGAAGAATGAGCAAATACTGAAAGCAGCCAAGCTCCCAGCCCCTCAGCTCAGCCCTGCCCACCAGCACCCACCTGCTGCCAAGGAGACAGAGGGAACTCCAGCAGAGAGGAGCATCCCTGTGTCTGATCTCCGTGACAGGCGTGAGTAATCCAGGGGCAGGGTGGGTCAGGAAGCTGACCTTTCTCTGTGTGGATACCTAGAGCCTCCTGTAGCATCCAGAGTCCTCCCTGCCCATCCAGTCCTCTACCCTGGGGACTCCTCACACCCCACATCAGTAACGCCTCACTGGCCACCTTTTTCAGAACGTTGTTTGTCCTGTCTTGCAGGTTAGATCTCATGGGGTTTGTGTGGGTCTAATGGCTGGGTGGATGGCACAAATGGGTAAGTGCTCAGATACTAACTGAGAGGTTGGCAGTTTGAATACATCCAGAGGTACCAAGGAAGAAAGACCTGGTGATCTACGTCTGAAAGATCACAGCCTTGAAAACCCCTCTGGAGCACAGTTCTACTCTGACACACATGGGGTTGCCATGGGTTGGAGTGGACTCGGTGACTTTTTTTTTTAAGTTCTTTCACAGGTGTGGTCCAGTGGAAATGACTGTGGGATGTGGAGGGCTTGGGGACGGTCTCTGCTCCTTTCTCTGTAATACTATGGCATCTTTCCTTCTGCTCTGCAAGTTAATGGTGGAACCAAGATTTCAGCTGTCTCCGTCTGACTCTAGCCTGTCCACTGGGCATTGTACCGTCTAGCCAGTGCCATTGGCTGGTTCCAGGGGCTGGCTCGGCTGCTCTCTCCTGAAGTGCACGGTCTTAGGTCTCCATGGTATCTGGGCGTTTTCACAAACACTGAGTCTTGCTGATGGTTCAAATCTATATGCCCCTCCTACACATGAACTTACAGGACAACCTCGTCTTATTTTCTGTCTCAGGGCTGGGGAAACCAGGCCAGATCACTGTTGACAAGGTGGCAATGAGACGTTTCTGCAGCAAAGTCACTCCACCATGGATGCCCCTGTTCCCTCCCCAGTGATAGCATTTTTCCACTGGTTTATCTCTGAATTGATTTGTGTTTGCTCTGTCCTTCTAATTTTACCTTCTCAGTTGGAGGAATCTGGTTGTCGGGCTTCCTTGGCCCTGAGGTAAGGCTGCAGTACATGTGGGAACCTGGAGACTGTTACTCATGTGAATTCAGTGTTTCACCAGAACGGAAGAGACCCTGGCCTCACACTGACCCCTAACCCCAAAGCTTCACCAGAGCCTGAGCAGAATCAGAGACTGGCTGGCTGGCAGGGATCTCAGAGATAATCATCTAATCTGCTTCTTTTATGAAAAACAAGAATGACAAAAATTGGGGCACAAAAAAGCGGTGTGACCTGCTTGGGGTCTCACAGAGTTAGTGAGAGGCTTGGACTAGGACCTATGCCAGAGCTATGTGCCCTGGGCTGCACTGCCTCATTGCTTTCTCCTTCTTCTGGAAGACGGGTCTTCCCAAGCACCGACAAGTCTAGTTTTTGTTTTTACTGATTTTAGATGGAGCTGGAAGCAGCAATGCCTGGGATCTGGGACATTTTTCTGGCTTTTTTTCTTTTTTTAATTGTTGTAATTAAATGAAGTTTACATTTCAAGTTAGCCTACCAGACAAATTTTTTTTACATACATTGTTATGAGACTCTTAATTGCTTACCCTATTGTGCAACAGCACACTCCTCCTTTCCACCCCTGATTCCCCATGACCATTCAACCAGCTCCGAACTCTTTCTGCCTTCCGATCTCACCTCTGGCCGGAAGCTGCCCCTTTGGTATCTTGTATCTACTTGACTAAGAGGCACACTCTTCACGAGTATCACTTCATGACCCACAGTCCAGTCCAATCCCTATCTGAAGAGTTGGCCTCAGAAATTGTTTTAGTTCTGGGCTGATAGAGAGTCCAGGGGCCATACTTTCCAGGGTGCCTCCAGTCTCAGTCAGACCATTAAGTCTGGTCTTCTTACTAGAATTTGAGTTCTCCACCCCATCCTTCTACTGCTCCATCAGGGACCCTCTGTTGTGTTCCCTGTCTGGATGTTCATTGGTGGTAGCCAGGCACCATCTAATTCTTCTGGTCTCAGGAAGATGAAGTCTCTGATTTATGTGGCCCTTTCTGTCTCTTGGGCTAATACTTTCCTTGTGTCTTTGGTGTTCTTCATTCTCCTTTACTCCAAGTGGTTGGTTCCAATTGATGCATCTTAGATGGCCGCTTGCAAGCTTTTAAGACCCCAAACGCCACTCACCAAAGTAGGATGCAGAAGATTTTCTTATTAAGCTATGTTATGCCGATTGACCTAGATGTCACCTGAAAGCATGGTCCCCAGACCCCCCATCCCTGCTACTCTGTCTCTCAAAGTATTTGATTGTATTCAGGAAACTTCTTAGCTTTCGTTTAGTCCACTTGTGTTGACTTCCCCTGCAGTGTTTGCTGGCTGTCCTTCCCTTCCTTAAGATGATTCTTACCTACTATCTAGTTAGCGAATAACCCTCACCCTCCCTCGCCACCCCCGTAACCATTAAAGAATGTTTTCTTCTGTGTTTAAACGTTTTTTTGAGTTCTTATAATAGTGGTCTTATAAAGTATTTGTCCTTCTGTGACTGACTAAATTCACTCAGCATAATAAGTTCCAGCTTCCACCATGTTATACTATGTTTCACAGCTTCATCGTTGTTCTTTATCATTGTGTAATATTCCATTGTGTGGATATACCATAATTTGTTTATCCATTTGTCTGTTGATGGGCACCTAGGTTGCTTCCATCTTTTTGCCATTGTGAACAGTGCTGCAGTGAACATGGGTGTGCATATATCTATTTGTGTGACTGCTCTTGTTTCTCTAAGATATATTCCAAGGAGTGGGATAGCTGGATCCTATGGTACTTCTATTTTTAGCTTTTTAAGGAAGCACCAAATCGATTTCCAAAGTGGTGGTACCATTTTACATTCCCACCAACAGTGTATAAGTATTCCAGTCTTTCCACAACCTCTCCAGCATTTATTATTTTGTGTTTTTTGGATTAAGGCTAGCATTGTTGTGGTGAGATGATATCTCATTGTAGTTTTGATCTGCATTTCCCTAATGGCTAATGATCGTGAGCGTTTCTTCATGTGTCTGTTAGCCACCTGAATATCTTCTTTGGTGAAGTGCCTGTTCATATCCTTTGCCCATTTTTTAATTGGGTGATTTGTCTTTTTGTTGTTGAGGTTTTGCAGTATCTTATAGATTTTAGAGATTAGACGCTGATCAGATTTGTCGTAGCCAAAATTTTTTCCCAGTCTGTAGGTTGTCTTTTTACTCTTTTGGTGAAGTCTTTTGATAGCATTAGTGTTTGATTTTTAGGAGCTCGCATTTACCTAGTGTCTCTTCTGGTGCTTGTGCATTTTTACTTATGGTTGGTATTGTGTTTATGCCATGTATTAGGGCTCCTAGTGTTATCCCTATTTTTTCTTCCATGATCTTTACCATTTTCAATTTTATATTTAAGTCTTTGATCCATTTTGAGTTAGTTTTTGTATATGGTGTGAGGTATGGGTCTTGTTTCAGTTTTTTGCAAATAGATATCCAGTTATGCCAGCACCACTTGTTAAAGAGACTGTCTTTTCCGCAATTAATGGACTTGGGGCCTTTGTCAAATATTAGCTGCTCATAGGTGGATGAGCTTATATCTGGATTCTCCATTCTGTTCCATTGGTCTATGTGTCTGTTGTTGTACCAGTACCAGGCTGTTTTGACTACTGTGACAGTATAATAGGTCCTAAAATCAGGTAGTGTGAGGCCTCCCACTTTGTTCTTCTTGAGTAATGCTTTATTTATTCGGGGCCTCTTCCCTTTCCATATGAGGTTGGTGATTTGTTTCTCCATCTCATTAAAAAATGCTGGTGGAATTTGGATCGGGATGGCATTGTATCTGTAGATTGCTTTGGGTAGAATTGACATTTTCATTATGTTGAGTCTACCTATCCATGAGCAAGGTATATTTTTCCACTTATGCAGATCTCTTTTAGTTTCTTGCAGTAGTGTCTTGTAGTTTTCTCTGTATAGATCTTTTACGTCTCTGGTTAGATTTATTCCTAAGTATTTTATCTTCTTGGGGGTTATTGTAAATGGTATTGATTTGGTGATTTCCTCTTCAAGGTTCTCTTTGTTGGTGTAAAGGAATCCAATTGATTTTTGTATGTTTATCTTGTATACTGAAACTTTGCTGAAATCTTCTATTCTGGCTATTTTTTGAGGCCCTCTTTCCCACCTCCCTCTCTCTATTTGTTTCTCCTTCTTTCTCTTTTGGGGGCTCTGTATCTCTCTTCCCCACTCCTCTTTGCACTGTTGGCTCTGCCTCTGTCTTTGTCTCACTCCTCTGTTAAAACCTGGCTTCCTCTGGAAGAGGACCTGTTTCCACTTCTCCCTAGATGATAGCAACATATCCTCAGACAGCTCGGACAGCTCAGACAGCTCGGAAAAGTCGCCCTCCAGATGCCAGGTAACAGGCCCTCCATGTGCTATCTGGGGAGACAGCTCTGTGGGGGCCCCTACTGTAACATCTGAGAACTCAGGCCACCCCAGCTAAGGAGATGGGGCAAGGAAAGAGGGGCTTCATGCGTCATTACAGCATCCACAGATGAAGGTGGTCAGGCCCACAGCCCATGTCACATGGATCATCCAAACAAAGCGAGTCTGAAGGGGCTATAAAAATTAAATCAAAGAGCTAGTGGTACTTATGTACAACCAAACACCTCGTGGGATTTGGTTCCTTGGTTTGGAGGTTTAGGGTCATGGTTTCATGGGACATCCCAGTTAATTGGCCTAATAACGTGTTTAGAGCTTCTGTTCTACCTCCTAGTTCTTTGCATAGTGCCTGGGGTCTTAAAAGCTTGCAAATGGCCATCCAGATTGCAAGAATTGGTCTCTATTCGCCTGGAACAACAGAGGAAGAAGGAGAGTCAGGAATAGAAGGAGGAAATGGAATGTGTGGCTAATTGCCTCCATGAACAACTGCCTCTTTTGCCATGAGACCAGAAGAACTGGACAGTACCCAGCTACCATTACTGAATTTTTTGATCAAAGATTCTGTAGAAGAATACTGATCAAAACGGGGAAAATGCTGAACAGAATTTCAAATTCTCATGGACTCTAGATGTTCTGGAGCCATGGAGGGTGGATGAACCTCTGAAACTATTGCCCTGAGATAATCTTTAAACCGTAAACCAGAAATGTCCCCTAAAGTCTTCTTAAAACCGAGCAATAGTTTAGCTTAACTAGTAAAAAAGGTCTGCCTTGAGCATTATGCTCTTTTAAGAACGATCTGTATGGGATCAAATTGACAAAAGCAACTGGTAAGATTAGATAGGAACCTAAGGGGGCAGTGAGTTTATGTTAATGGTGGAGGAACAACTCAGCAAAAGAGGATGGGAACGGTTGCACAACTTGAAAAATGTAATCGATGTCACTAAATTGTACACTTAGAGGCTGCTAAATTGGTGTATGTTTTGCTGTGTATATTCTCAACAGTAACAAAATAAATAATTTTTTTTTAAAAAAGAGCTAATGGGACTCCCTCCCCCCTTCTTCTCCCCATACCCCATTCCCCTGGGCCAAAGTCTGCTCTGAGTCCTGACTTCACTTGGATTGAATTTCGGCGTCTTCTCTTCCCACCACCTCTCACCTGCTCATCCTTAAACCCATTCTCTGCAGACAGGTGGAACAAAGTCATTGGCCATCTGCCTTGTTGCCCTGCCCCTGCCCCTGCCCTCAGACCCAGGAGTCCAGCTACCTGGGGCTCAGGTTCTTTCCTGCCAAGACTTGTGGGCAGGGGCAGATTATCCAATAAGCAAGGTACACACAGGTTTCCTTGTGCTTACTTACTAATCTGTAGTGAACAATTTCACATGGGCTTGTGAAACCCATGTGAAATTATCCACCGCAGATTAGTAAGTAAGCACAAGGAAACCCGTGCTTACCTTGCTTACTGGGTCACCCGCCCTGTCAAGGATTGTAAATTTGAAAAGAGGCTTTGATTCTGTGGGCTTGGGAGAGAGACAGACACTAGCCATACCTAGAAGCAGAATCTTTGATGTGGTGACAAGATGTGAACATGTTAGCTACAGATGATCTGGTAAGCAAGGTAAGCACTGTGCTTACTTTGCTTATTGGATAATTTGCCCCTGCTTGGGGGAGTCTCTTTGAGAGAGAGTTCAGTCCTGGGGTTCTTCCTCCTCCATACACAGTAGAGTTCTTGACCCACCTTTCTCTGCTCTTTTGCCAGGCCCCCAAGGACGTGAATTACACACAAGTGGTTTTTTCAGCCGCCGGAGGGCTGGAAAGTGAATCTGCCCTGGACTATGAGAATTTAAACGAAGCCACAGATTATGTCAATGTCAACCCAAAAGGCCACAAGACCAATTTCTGGACTGTTGTGAACCGTGATGCCTCCGAGCCAGCGGAATATACTCAAGTAGTCGTGTGAATTCTAGATTTTCAAATAGGGTCCAGTTCTCTGTGACTGTTTGCACTTATTTTGTAGGGGAGGGTTTCAATTTATTTTAGCAAGGCAGAGCGGGGAGATAGGTCTATACTCCATCCAGCAGGAAGAATTCAGATCAAATGTTAGGAAGAACTTCCAGGTAATGGAAATATTGAAGCACTTTAGTAGAGAAAGTGAAGTTCCTCCCCGGAAAAAGTTAAACAAACAAACAAACAAAAAACTCTGTGAATCAGTAGGAAAAATTGGGGTGAGTTCTGCTTGGCAATCTTGTGGTTAAATGACTTCTCTTTCAGCTCTTTAGTTATTGACTGCAAACAACTTCCTTAACAGTTTTAAATAAAATGGCAACCACCAGTTCCTCTTTTGCCCTTGTCCAACCCTGTCTGTTGTCCCTTTCTTCAGTGCTGTGTCTTGCCGAGTAATCCTGGTCCACCCTCAGAACTTTAAACAGTCCGTTTGGAGAGCCCATCATCAATCAACCCTTGAAATTGCTGCTTCTGATGAGCATCCCAATCTGTTATCCCAAGAAAAATCTTCCAAAATTCAATACCCATTACTATTTTTTTAACCAGTTAGGAATAACAGGATACTTTCTTAACTTGATTAAGAATTGCTATTTCAAATCAGCAGATAGCATGTGATTTAACTGCAAGGCCCTAGACACAGTCCTATTAAACCAGGAATGAAATAAGAATGTCTGCAAACCTGCCATTTGTTTTATTATCTAACATTACTCCAGAAGTTCTAGTCAGGGCAATAAAACAGCAAAAACAAGAGTTATAACGATCGTAAAAGTCCCTGGGTGGTGCAAACAATTTGCACTCAACTGCTAACCTAAAGGTTGGCACTTTGAACCCACCCAGCAGTGCTGTGGAAGAAGAGTCCTGGTGATCTGCTTCCCTAAATGTCACAGCCAAGAAAACTCTATGGTGCGGCTCTGCTCTGTCACATGGGGTCGCCATGAGTCAGAATTGACTCGACAGCAACTAATGACAGCAACATAACTACTGGAACCAAAACCCCTTACTGTCGAGTCGATTCCGACTCCTAGTGACCCCACAGGACAGAGTAGAACTGCCCCATAGGGTTTCCAAGGAGCGACTGGTTGATTCGAACCGCCGACCTTTTGGTTAGGGGTCAGACTTTTAACCACTGTGCCACCAGGGCTCCAGCTATTGGAAAGAAGGATAAAATTCATCATTGTTTGCAAATATAATGTGATCCCTAGAAAATTAAAAAAAAAATGCTTTAAAAAGATAGCACGCAGCAACCGGTGACTAGATAAATAAACAAATATTTTTTCCAACATCTAATTAAGACACAAAATTAAAAAAAAAAGAGGCCACAATAGCTGAACAAACAAACATGGAAACACTGAAATACTAGGAATGCTCTTAACCAAATGCAAACGCTGGATTAGTGGCATTGGAGGTCTCAGAGATCAGGTATTAACTGTGCTCCCTCTGCTGCCCATAGAGGGTTTTCCTCCCCTCGGTGCTGAGAGCGTTCATCTTCCTGTGTTCCCCTTCCCCAAGATGATCTGAAGCAATGGTTCTGGTTTGGATTTCTGGGGATGGAAAAATTCGAGGATCTGCATTTCCCTTTACCTTTTAGCTACCATTGTTGTTCTTCAGGAACCCCTAGGTGGCACAAATGGTAAAGCGCTCAGCTACTAACCAAAAGGTTGGTGGTTCAAATCCACCCGGAGATGCCCCAGAAGAAAGGCCTGCCAATCTACAAAAAAAATCAGCCTCTGAAAACCCTACGGAACACCTTTCTACTCCGACATACACCGGATCGCTATGAGTCGGAGTTGACTTGACAGTCCACTGGTTTCCGGTTTGTTGTTTCTCTCTTTAGAAAGTTTTTAATGGGGGAAAAGAGACGCTATTATTAGAGAGGCAGAGTGAGGAATAATAAAAAACAACACTGTGCTTGCATTCAGAAGGGAAACTCTACTTCTTACTGATCCCTTTGTAAGAAGGAAAAAAAAATTCAAGAGGCGTAAGCAGGTTACAGTGTACCCGAGAATGACCACGCAGGGACCCTCCGGGACTGTTCCCACACCAGGAGAGGGGACATCTCAGGGGCCAGTAACACTAACAGAGCGCCTGCTCTCTGCAGGATTCTGGGCTGGGCCCCGGGGGTTGAGAGGAGGCATAAAGAATCTTGTTGTTGTTGTTAAAAACATACACCAAGTCAACAATTTCCACATGTAAAATTCAGTGACATTGATTACATTCTTCAAATTGAAGGGAGGAGGAATAAATAAAAAGAAGACTTGATCATTGGGGGTTGGTGGGGTCCAGGCATGTACAACCTAGTTGTGGGGACAGAAAAGAGCTGAAGGACATATACAACGCAGCATACGACAAAGGGGAATTTACACAGAGCAAGGAGACCAGAGCCCATCCATCAGTGATGGGCAGGTCTGGGTGAAAGAATGCTAGGATCTGGTGGAGTTAATCAGAAAAAACATCCCAGAGAGAGGAGATTTCCAAAGTCAGCTTAGAAGGAGGGTGGAAAAAATCCATTCATGGAGAAGAGGCAGAAGGAAAGGGAAGAGGCCTGAGCTGGTGCAGATTCTCACTTGGTGCTCGAGGCACCATCCTGAAGGGAAGTGTAGGGGAGTGTCTGTGCTGGCCCAGGGTCAGTGGTGATACTCGGAGACTGTCAGCTGATAGCAGAGACAGCAGAGATCAAAACTGAAGGAAGCCACAAACCATCTGATTAAGGTCGATAACAAACTCTGAGGCTCTTTGAAGCTACATTTGGCTTCAAAGGTATGACATTTTACAGCAGATTAATCTTTCAGATAAATGTATTGCGGAGTTAACATCGTTAGCTCCCGCGCTGATTGTTTGTGAGGGGAAAGCATTCACGGAAAGTGCTGTTTAAGAATAGAGCGAAAGTATGATGCCACCACGTGGCTTACAAAGATTTGACAGCGGATGACTTCTCAGATGGCCTGGTAAGTGGACAGAGGGGCTGGTTTTACCTCCTGAGGAGTCTGGGCCAATAAACTGATCATTGGAGCCAGCTAACAAATTTAAAGGATCTTCAAAGTCATTGTAAGTCATGTTGCTAGAAATAAAATGACCTTTTATTTGTGATACTTTTGTGAGCTTAGAGGGTCAGCTGCTTAAATCTGTACAAATAGTTGCCTGTATGAGTAATCACCCTTTGAGGAGCACAGCTTCCTGTTCAGTGAAGTCACCTTCCTCCATAATATATGTCACTGGCATCCTAAGTGCTGCCTATGTGCCAACAATGAGCTGGGACTATACTGTAGACCAGAATATCTATGAGCTGTCTTCAATGAATTCATATTCTAAAGGAGCAAGCATCCAAATGCCCACCATGGAACTGCAGCGAATTCCACGAGGGACGCTTCCATGAGGACCACTAGAGAGGCGTTTGTTTGCTCCTGGAATCAGGGCAGACTGCTGGGTTCAGAAGGGCTTGCCAGAGGCCTCCTAACCCACGTCCCAGCCTCTAAACCAGAACACATTAAAGTAACTCCAGCTCATCTGGTTTTTGGAGATCCACCCCAAAAAGGTGACTCTACTACCTCCCTCAAACACTCACCGATGTGTCTTCCTGCCTCACGGAGGAATTTCTACACTGAGTGTCTCGTCCTGCAATAGAAATCTCTTGTTTTTTTTTGCTCTTGCAAAATAAATCTCCCATGGGCTTACAGAGACAGAAGTGTATGACCTGGTATCTCAGGAGAACTGGGTCAAATGAGGAGCTAAGACCCTTTAGGACTTTAGGAGAAAGCTCAAAACCAGTTGCCATCAAGTCAACTATGACTCATAGCGACCCCACGTGTGTCAGAATAGAACTGCGCTCTATAGGGTTTTCATGGCTGTGACCTTTTGGAAGTGGATCACCAAGCCTTTCTTCCAAGGTACCTCTGGGTGGGTTCCAACCACCAACCTTTTGGTTGGTAGCCCAGCACTTAACAATTTGTGCCACCTAGGAGAAAGTTAGGTGAGGCGTTAAAGCGGAGAGGGTAGGTGGGTTTCCCAGCCTGCCCCTGTGGGTCATTATTGCTTCAGACCCTCCAGGAGAGGTTGATGGGGTGGGGAAGGGGTGATGGTGGTGGTGTTAGACTGAGTCTCAGTTATACTTGGCTGGAGAAGGGGCCTCATCCTGAGTCTTAGGCAGGAGTCTCCCTGCCCCATCCAGGCCAAGCTCACGGTTTAGGCACTGTCAGCTCCACACTGCCACCTTGTGACTCTAGAGCAAACTCCAGGACACTCCTCTGTGTCTTGCTTAACCTGAGTGAAGGGGTACGAGGGAGGTCACCGTCCCTCCCCTCTGCCCTTCACCCTCGGCCCTGCTCAAGGAGATCACATTATTTTACCTTGCACATCCCGTTATCAGTGCCCCTAGGAAACAAAGATGTCCAGAAATTTCCTGGATATTACGAGTTGTATTGGTCAGATTTCAACCACCTGTCTGGGTTCCTGACCCAGGAGTGAGCTGCTGCAACCTGGGTCCAGTCTACAGGCCTTGACAGATAAAAGACTGGTTTACATGCAAAACACAGTCACCTGGGAAATGATTGACTTATACCAAACAGAAGCAAAAGCCCTTCTGAAAACTCCCCACAGTCACAGACTAACCCCTCCTGCCAGCCTCGGCCTGCCCACCCCTTCTCCCCCAGCTCCCACATGGGCTTAAGGGGCTGCAGTACTTGTATTTCACAAAATCCACAGAATGGCTTAAACATTTAACAAAAGAGCCCAGCCCAGAGACGACACTGTAGCGTCTCCTGGGCTTACCTCTCAGAAATGGGATTGACCCCGAGAACAAGAACAGAACCTCCTTCTTGCTTCCCACAGCTGCCTGCCTTCCAGAAACTTATCAAAGGCACTTCTGCTGGCCCAGACTATGCATGAGAGCTTCCTACAGGTACTATAAAAGCTGTCATCATATATCCAGGCAAGATCATGCCATTTCCTTCCGGGGCCTCCTGGAATAGGCTCCTGAGGCCTCCAGCCCAGTGCCTAGTGGCCCTTCACCAGCCTCATCACAGGATAGCTCCAGCTTTCTGGAGAAGATCAAGTGCAACCTCTCCCAGGGAGGAACAGTGAGTGCCCTGAAGTCTCCACCATGAGTAAATTCCCCTCATGCGATGCAAAACAGAAAACATAATACAGAACATAGAAAGCAAAGAGTAGACACAGAAGGTGCTTTGGTGAACCTTGACTCCCAGGCTCCTCTTCTTTCTCTCAGAACTGTAAGCTCTCCTAGGCCCAGTGTCCTGGAAGTCACCCGTCAGATGCAATCTGTAGCCAGGCTATCATTATCTTCTCTAGCATCAGTAGGGAGCCCTGGTGGTGCAGGTGTTAAAGCGCTCAACT